TAATCTCAAAATACTTACCCAAATACAACAACATCAACAAATTCATTCCATACAAAAAGGAGTAAACCTACCAAGCTTCGAAAAAGCAGCATTAAAAATTCGCCTCCAACAATTGCAAGATGATGCATATACTAATGCCTCCATATTAACAGAACATCCAGTTTTTTCATCTAAAGAACTCCACACGTACACAGCACAAGCAATTCTAGTAATGCACCAAAATCAGATTCAAATCGAAAGAACAGCTAACCCCTGGCCTCTCCCTCTAAAAATAAGTGATATACCAATCAACAACTTGTTACAAAAGCTCTTGCATCCCTAAAAAATAAAAGCAAAACTAAACCTACATGAAATATCCTGTATAGAACAATTTCTAAACCATAACAACACATGTTCATTAACCTGGAAGCATTTTCAAAACAACATAAAAAAAAATACCAAAAGGACGCCAACCAAAATGGTTTACAGAAATCACAGATAATATAGAAAATATCACAAACCCTACATTCACTCTAATTTCACTAAACCCGTTTATGCTTACCTGTTGGGAAGAAAACAAAACAAAATGGATAATCACAAATCAAAGGCAATTCTGCAAAATTTCAAGTCATACAACTCTATATGCAATAGTAAACTATTGGACGATAGAACAAGAGAATAAACTAATTAGATGTTAAAAATGTGATTTCAACGATACAAGTCTAAAGAAAACAAAATGTATGGCAAAAATCCCACTTGAATCAATATATAGCATACAGGTCGACTCAACAAACAACCTTCGAGCCGATTCGCAAGATATTTATTAAGGAATTAACCTACTCTATAAAAGGAAATTTCTCCCTGCATACTACTAAAGCACACACATCACGATTCATGTTGGCCTTCGAAGATATAGAAGAACCACTTACAAGAAAACACACCGAGCTAACATACGGGAAAAGCAATATTAATATAACATTAACAACTGGATATATGGAACATTATAAGACACAATGCCCAATTGCAAAAGCAGACATCGATCATATACCTGAATGTCTCATTATAGCAAACAAATCTTGGCCTTCATATACAAAAGCTACACTAACACTCGTTGCTTATATTCTAGCTATTACTCCTAACAATACTGCAATTACTTTTAAAACTAATTATCTCTCAATACAAAAAAACATAGAAAGGATAATCACTCTTCCCTTTTTCGAACTTCAAACATTCCAAAAAGAGAGACACACTAGCTTATTAATATATCTAAAGGCACTAATATTAGAAAGAGAAGACAAAATAACCATTATATACAACTCACAAGCAAAAACCAAAAAGAAAAAGAGACAACCAATAATTACTGATATCAATTCACAACACATAATACATAATTACTTTAGCCTGAAACTTGATGGCCTAGTATCAGCATTCAACCTTAAAGAGCTAACAAAACATATATTCTGCGCAAAGAACAGCTTGGCATGATACAACCAAAATCGGATCAGAAAATGGAGTAGACAGCAAATAAATTGGCCAATGACAATCAAATTATTCGAACATGCAGACAAACCTAACACTCGGTTCACTAATATAAAAAGATCTACATTAAAAGCCTTTATCATCAAATTAATTACTAACGAAGTTCCTAACTATGTGAATCTATATCTTAGAAATAAAGAAAAAAACACAAATTACTCCTGTGCACGTTGCAATACAGAAGTGGAAGATACTCCTCACATGTTAAGCTGTCCTGCAAACACTATGGGCCTGAGACAAATAATAAAAGAAGTTTCAATACAACTCAGCAGGAAGAAGAAATATACTCTACATCACCTAGATCAATTTATAAACAATTTTATAATGACTCACATCCAAGAAAAATTCCCATTGGCCTTATCACCAACAACACTCTTGTCCTCTTCAAATGACTAGAAGAAAAGACCATTTCAACACCTACCCTTCACTACAAAATAATTAAATGAATCTATAAAGAAATATGGATAGAAAGTAAGAATATCAGACATACCAGCCCCCACCCTCCAACAAATCTCACCCCCCAGTTAAAGAAGAATACAAGGACAATTTTCTAATAAACAACCTCCACTTTACTCGTTGGTTATACAACTACCAAAATTTCAATCAACTTCTGCTACACTGTATATATGAAGACTAGAGGTCTCATGATCTAACTAGTAAAAATTAGGTCGAGAGTAAACTAGCTCTTACCTCTACTCTGTGATAAGAATAATGTATTATGTATATGTACTATTATATTTTTCGAAATAAAGGATTAGAGAAAAGACCTCTTTTTTTAAAAAAAAAAAAAAAAAAAAAAAAAAAAAAAAAACAATTACTTATATATTTTTTATTTGCTGCTTCTGATATGAATACTAGATAATTCAAACTTGTAAAATCTTCAGAATACTTAACTATTATACTATACTATGATTAATATAATGTAACTTTATTCTTTAAAAATTTTTTTGTCAGATCAACTTTATTAAGCATATTACATTTGGTATTAGAATCAAACATGTAATATGAACTATTTATTAAGTTTATTCTTTTAGTTAATTACTTTTCATAGTTATCTAATTAAATTAACAATCAAAACTAAAGATTCTGGGTTATTCTCAAAGTGTCTAACTTTATAAATTAAAGTTTTAATTAGTTTATCTAAGTAAATAAGTTTAGTATTCTAGTACAAGTTTAATTAATAACTTAGCTAAGTTCTAAATCCAAATTCTTGTTTCGATATAACTATAATAGCAGGCTGTTCTTTAATGGAGTTGATACTTTGCCACTTTTTGCCTAGTTCTTACATCTCGTTCAAACTTATCATTATACTTTCATGATCTAGAAATAAAAATAACATTTTTTTTTTTTTTTTTTTTTTTTTTTTTTTTTTTTTAAGGTGAGGTCATGCCTCATGTCTTTATTAATATATATGTATATATACAAATTTTATTCAAATTATTCTATACATTTTTAATATCATAACTACACAAGACTTAGACTACTTTATCTATGACCTAAGCCTACCTAAGCCACTATGTTCCCGTTCACGTATAGCCAGGATTTTTGTATACTATTACTAAGTTATTAAGATTTTCATTTATTACTATATTCCCC